CATGGATTGTAGCTCCCAGGCTCCTCTGTCCTCGGGATTTCCCAGGCAAGAATACTGGAGTGGGCTGCCATTTCCTTCTCAACCCAGGGGATCTTATCGACCTAGGGATAGAACTCACGTCTCTGCTTTGGCAGGCGAGTTCTTGCCGGTGGAGCTACCAAGGAAGCCTGCCTCCCCCTCAACAGGGCAGCCTCAGCTGCTTATAGCAAATACTGATCTGGATGGCTTATTCTCCTTCAAGTTCCCTACAAATCCAGTTTCCTTTGCATTACTACAGTCGATTTTATTTTTTTCCTCCTAAACTACAGGTTTCAACCCATGGATAAGGAATTTTTAAAAAATAGAATATAAAATATCAAAGTGCCTCTCCCATAATGCGGGCAAGTGTTACTTGTGACAGTAGTTTCAGTTATGAGTCTGTGTGCACACAAATGATGTGGTGGATTGCAATGTTAAACATACTTGCTACTGTGAGTCATGGTAGAAAACGTTTGAAAGCAACTGCTCTCTGACACCTAACCTAGAGGCTGCCTAATGCTCTGTGAATGCTCATTGAACAAATTGATGAGTATGATACTATCCATTTATTACAACTTCAAAGGTTCCACTTGGAAAGAATATAAAGTAGAAAGCCTATTGGAACAAAAAGAAATGGATTCTGGGCCATGTGAAGCTATGGGGCGGAGGAGTAGGAGAGAGAGATCTGAATATTTACTATTTTAGTCCAACAGACTTTCTCTCCAGTAACTAACATGTGTCTATATTTAAGGGAGATTAGATACAATTTTGACTTAAGTTCACTGTGGAGAGCTTATCTCGGTCACCGAAACCACCTCATGATTACAGAGTTCTGAATCTTTAAAATATTTGGTATAGGTAATTCCACCATGACTCATAAAAGGATCTTTCAGAGACACCATGAAAGCCTTTGTTCCAGTTCTTTCTTTGCCCAAGATGCCGCTATGTCCTCTCAATACCCCACCCCCACCGTCTGTAAAAATCCCATTCATCTTTCAAGGCTTAGTTCAAAGGCCACCTTTTCCACGGAAGCCTTTTTTTTAAAACTCGATTTTTCCTCTTTCCCTCCTCCACCACCCACCCACCCTGGTCCCAAATATGGCCTTTTTCACTTGGGAATCACCAGTGTTGAAGCCTTTTTAATATGTGTTTTCTTGTCTCATCTCCACTAGACAATAGCACGCACAACTCACGGTCTACTCTTCTCTGCATCCCCTGTGGTAACCAGCACAAGCTCTTGTCTTTAAGAGATGATCAATACAATGTGTTAAGTGAATAAATGAAAGCAACTGTTACGCCATTCAAAGGGATGGTCTTTATTTTAAAGGCCCTGTGGAATGGCATACATGGCCAGCAGCTGATCAAAAGCTCGTGGAGAATTGGAAAAAGAGGGGACGGAGGGGACAGAGGTGGAGTCTGAGAAGGGGCTTGGCTTCTCTAGGCATCTGCTCCTGGAAATTTACTGAATCCCCAGCTCTTCAGGGATTCAGCTCTAAGAATGAAGCTAGGGAGCTGGGGACAGGATGCATGCCTTCACCTGCTCCAAACTCTCCATTCCTGCTTCAAACCAGAAATGAGAAGTAGAAGTGGGAATAAGGGCAACTTTAAGGTATGGCTGAAAAGAAAACTGAAACTGTTATTTGGATGATTCAGGTTCAAAATCTCCACCCCCCCCCAACCTTGAAAAAAAAGAATGGGGGTTTCTGGAGGGGAGCAGAGGAGGGGAAAGGGTGTGCAAGGAAGCCGAGGAGATTAAATTCAACAGTACTGAGCTCTTTAGTTCATACTGTCTCTACAGTCATTTGGGGATGCTCCCAGTGACCACTAGACTAAGCTAGCTCAGGTTCAAAGGCACAGTCACAACTAATAAACTGAAATTTGTTTTATTGGAAAATGATATCCAGCAGTGAAAACATTGTTTGTTAAAATCCCATTCTCTTTTGCCTTAGTATCTTCTCCCCCCGCCACCCCCCACTCCAACTCCACCCCAAAGAACAGTGTTTTCCTAAAAGGGATTAAAGAAAGAAATTTTTAGTGGTCTCTATTTTAAATTTATATACATTTTATAAGCTAATTCAAATAGGGCAGCAGATGTAATTTCCTAAATCATGGTATTTTGTTTTCAAATCTTTAACTTTAAATTAATATAATTAAAGGCTCTGACCTTCTCTTTAATATTATAGCAGAATCTTCATCAAGATTTTGTTTTGTAATAAATTCCAGACCTGCCCTCATAAAATGGGAATACATCTGTAATACTTTAGAAAATACATTTGATTTAAAATCAGAAAAGTTGAGTTTTGAAATTAATGCTTGGTTCAAACATGGCTACTCCACTTCTAGATGTGTGACCTTGGGCAGGTCAGCTAATATTCCCAACCCTCAATTTCCCAAAAACAGTACTGGGTTGTTCCCTAAGGTTGTCGTGAAAATTAAATGAGTTAAGACATGTAATGTACTTAGAACAGAGTTTAAGGATGCTAAGTACGGGCACTATACTTACAGCATGTCTGGCTAAGTGTCTGGTAAATGTTAGCTTAAAAATTCTGCTGCCATTTGTTTTATGGTCTCAGTAAAGTCATTCTACAGTTCAAGGCCTCTATTTCCTTATCTGTAGAATGGGACTACTACCACTTACCACTTCTGGGATTGTTATGAGATTCAAGTAAGGAAACAATGGATATGAAAATGTTTTGACCCATAGAAAGTACTCAAATGTTAGCTATTTGGGGTCACCTATAAGCTTAAAAGTAAACTTAAAAACAGAAAAATGTAAAAGTCAACCACTAAACTGAGTTAGCAAATAGCATCCATTCCATGTTAGAAATGTATACTTAAGGAGTTTGGTTTCGCCTTAACTGATCAGAAATATGTAAGCTCTTAGAAGATGTAACTTCTGCATCTGCAAACTAGAAATGCTCCCTCAGTCAAGCCAAAGTGTTCTACTATGAAAGCAAGAAAGCCTGCACAGTTTCATAAGCCAAAGAGAAACTGATGGATTGATTAAAATTTGACTGCATGTACAGTAACTTTAAAAAAAAACACGCTTATTTTTTAATTTTTTTAAATAATAAAAGTACTGTAGCTAATGTAAATTTCAAGTCAATTCAACAGACATTTTTTGTGTAACTGTGCTCCAGGTAACTCAGCCAGAAACTATAAAGATGCAGAGGAAAAGAGAGCTTAGGCATGTGCTGGAAAAGTCACAGATTATGACTGATAATTTCAAAATATCCCTTGTAAGAGTCAAAAGGGGGCTTCAGTTTTGAGTCAGCAAGCAGACAAGCAGCCTAAAACCCCACCAAAACAAAAAGTTCTTTCCTCTGACTGAAAAACTGCCTTTTAAAAGCAAAAGTCATTTTTAAAGCACAGTTTCTATCTCCAAACCTACTGAATTTGTGCCAGAAACCAACATTTCAAAGTGTAAACCTGTAAAGTAATAAGTATCTATAAATGAAAGACTGAAAAAACCCCAGAAGCAACAACACAGTAATTAGTGACTTTTATAGAGTAATAACATGTTTCATATTCTTTCTACACTGACTCTCTGAAGTTTCCAGTGTAATATATAAAACTTTTATTACATTAGGGCCCATCCTTGTGTATTTTATGGGTGCCAGCATTATGCAGAGCAAGCTGCACTTACTCAACCTCGGATCTCCTATAAGAAACTTTGCTAATGCACTAGCTTTGTGTCCAGTTTAGTTAGTTACACCTGGTTTTAGACGGAGTAGTCACTGGAAGCATGAAACAAGGGAAACATACACATATCCACAAATCATCTATATGATCTATAAATCAAATAGCAGTTTAGCTTTAAAACTGCACACTGCATATTCATGTGCACACCACTTGCAGTTTTAGACACATGTGAACTCTTTACTGAATTAAAGAAGAAAAGGGAGGGGTGGGGGAAACCAAAGCTCAGCTCTACAATGAGCCATTTCCAGAGGCAGAACAGAATGCAGTTAATACGCTTGTTCCACAGATGTTCATTCCCTAAATATTAAACATAACACAAGTTCCTCCAGGAATATGCAGGCAGTAATTTTACCACCTGAATAGGGCTGGTTGGAAACATTTAGGAGATGGGGGGAGGCGGTGGATAAGAGGGATGTGGAAGCAGCCAATGGGATTTTTAACACACCCGAAACTAGAATTAAACTGTTTCCAGCGGCGCTTTACCTACAGCAGCTCCTCAACGTGAGAAGCCCGAGCCACAGAGGGCTTCCGCCAGGCCGCCCGCTCCCCAAGCTGCGAGCTGTGAGCGAGGAATAAGGGGACACACGGGGCGCCCGTGGGCTGGAGCGGGGACAGGAGGAGTGTGGCCAGGCGAGGTGTGAAGAAAGTGCCCACAGGGATTGCGAACCTCGAGGAAATGAGTCTCCCAAGGCCGGGGCCTCCGGAATTCCCGCACGGAGAAGCACTCGCCCCACTGCCCTCGGGTTCACTTTCTATCTCGGGTGGGAGTGGGTGGGCGAGACAGAAAGGATGCGGCCGCCAGGACCCGGCGCAGGCAGGCGGGAGGCTGGAGCATCCTCTAAGGGCACTTGGCTGCAGCCTCAACTCCAGGGGGTCGCTGATGTGACGACGGGGTGCGCAAACGGAGGGAAGGGAGGTGAGAAGTGCGGGGGCGGCGTGGGGGAACCGAGGGGTGGATCCCCGGCACTAGTGACACGTTCTAGAAATCGGTGCATTATCAAGGCTGCGCTCTGCCCCTGGCTCCCCAGATCACCGGCCCCGGGGCTGGGAGCCAACAGCACCGTGCTGAGGAGACGGGAAAGGGCGCCGAGAAGACAAGCGGGCGGCCGGGCCTCCCCCCGGGGGAGACGGGAAGGAGCCACCGCGGCGGGCGCCCCGGACCCTCCCCGCCCCCACGGTGGCTGGTAGCCGGAACCCCCGACCCAGGTGAGGGCGCGCGGGCCGCCACGGTCTCCCCTCGCCGCTCGCGCCCGCCCAAGCGGCGGGCACAGGGGACTCACCACAGCGACTCGAGGTCCCATTCCTGGAGCAGGGCTAAGTCGAAGCTGTCCATGGTGGGAGGTGTCAGCGCCGCCGCCGCCGCCGTCGCCGCCGCCGCCGAGGATCGGGCCGCCCGCGCGCTGCAACGAAAGGCGCCGCTCAAGGTGCATCCCGGCCGCGCCGGAGGGGCCACCGCCCGCCCACCGCCCGCCCCCGGCTCGGGGCTCCCGGCGCCCCCCTCCCGCCTCGGGGCTGGCCCGGCGGCTGGCGGCGGCCAGCGCACTCACCCGCTCGCCAGCTCGCGCAGGCACACTCCGCAGAGAGCGGCGCGATCGCCGCCGCCGCCGCCGCCGCCGCCGCGTCCTCCTCCCCCCTACCCCGCCCGCCCCGCGCCCGCCCCTCCTCCCGCCCTCGCGGCGGCCCGGCCCGGCCCGGCCCGCTGCAGCCGCCGCCGCTCCGAGCCCGCCCGCCCGCCTTTCTCCTCCGGGAGGCGCGTGTGCGCGGGCGAGGCCGAGACGCGCGCGCGCCGTGAGCCCCGCGCCGCGCCCGCCCCGCGCGCCCCTGCGCTCCCCGCGCGGCTCCCCTGGGTCCCGACCGCTAGCAGGCCGCGCCACCCCGCCCGCCCCGACCCCCGCGTACCGCTCCGCGCCGCGACCCCGGCCTCCCGGGGGCGCCCGGCGCGATCCGGACAGCCGGGCCGAGGGGCGGGCGGCGGCGCGGAGGGTCGGAGATGCACAGCTCGTCCGGGGCTGCCGCATCTTCTGCCCCGGCCCCGCCCGGCCTCCCCCCCACCCCCCACCCCTCACCTCCGGATGCACACACTTCTTGGGGGGTCCGGTCTTCAGCTGATCCGGCCGGGCGCTCCCCGCCGCGGGCCGGGCGATGGGGCGGCTGCCGACCTGAGTGGGTGCTGGGAGATGTCCTGGCCGCTCCAGGCGCGGAGCGAGTTGGCGGTGCAGCCTGCAGTAGCGCCGTAAACAAACCGCTTAAAATATCTGGAGCCAGTAAGTTACGTTAAATCAAGGGGGTCGGGGATGAAACCTCTTCTGAGGGGACCTGCAGTTTGAGGAAGGTACCCCCATCCCCAGTGCTCCAGCTGGCCGGACCCTGGAAACCCATCTCCTTTCTATTTCTTTCAGGGAAGGCGGACAGGCCTCTGGGGGTTGACTGCAAACTTCCAGCCCTATCTTCTGTCTGACAGAAGAATGAAAAGAGTGTCACTGTGGCTCTTAAAAACCCAAGTTCTTATTATTATTACTACTTCCTGGATTTTAAAGATCACTTCCCCCTCCCTTGCTTTTGTGTAAGGGATGAGAAGCCGGCGTCTCCATCAGCGCCCTAGCCCTGTTTGTTTCTCTATAGCTGGCCAAAACCCAGAACCTCTCTTTTGTCTCCTGACTCTCCAGTCCTCTTGGCCACAGCGCTGGGAGCCTGGCCCAAGCTCCCAAAGACTTCCTGGAGAGAGCAGTACAGGGCAGAGTAAGACCCATCCCTTGCACCCAACCCCCCAAGGCCCTACCATAGGGAGTCTTCTGGCACGCTCCCCTTTTGTTCATTCTAGACAAGAGGAACCACTCCCGGAGGCTGCCAGAAATCTAGATCCTTGGGTAGGAGTCAGTCACAGGATCCCTCCATCTGGAGGCAAGCCTAGGAATTATACCCTCCTCACCTCCCTGACCTCTGAATGAGGATTAACAAACTAAGTCCGGAGCACATGCAGGAGAAGAAAGGACCAAGGAGAATTCTTTCCTGTTTGGGGTTGGATTACAAAAACGCTCAGCCCCCTGCTGCCTTCCCCCAGCTCCGATGTAGTCCTTCCTTTATTAGCATCCATAACTAATGTGCAGAAGGTAAAACAGTAAAGGAAGGCAGAGTCTGACAGAAAGGAATTTCCCTCAACACAGTTTGAGGGAAAAGAATTGTTATTTTACAAGCTGATAACTCCCAGCCCCTAAAGACCTCCCTCATTAGTTGAAGGTAGTAACAAGGCTAGGAGGAACAAAGAGAATGTGAATATGGGGGAACACATAGGTGTGAAGCACTCTTCCCAGGACCCAGTCCAGGGTGTATTTGGAGAGACTGGGAGGGAGGGGGAATCTGTCTTCTCAACGTCTCCTTAGCATAAGCCTTGCTGCAAATGTTTGCTCTGGCAAAAGTGAGATGGCTGAAGCATCCAGACAGTGTTCTCAGGAACAAAGGCGGAGGGGCGGAAGGGCGAGGGGCATTGTGGAGGGTGGAGGAGAGCTCAAGAAAACAGCCCTGCTCTGGAACAACTGCAAGTTCCACTCCCCAACAAGAGGAGCGTCCTGTCCCTGGGCTAAGGGCTGCCAGCTGCGTGCCGAGAAGCTTCTCCAGAAAGACCTCCCACCCTTCTCAGGGATCTGACTTCCCTTCCCTTCCCTTCCCTTCCCACATGTCTGTTTATACAGTGGAGGAAGGCTGAAGAACAAACAGAACCATGTTTACTGGGACTCCCATCCTGGGCCTAAGCTCAGGATACAGAATTGCCCACACCATGGAAGCTTAGGATAGATGGAAGATCCTGGAAGAGGGAAAGGAGAAAGCCCTAGGGGTAAGGAGCTGGCAGAGTGGTTCCCTCATAAAAGACCTCTTCCCCCAAAGCCACAGAGGATTGGGTAGATAGATTTCTATTTGAATTTAAACACGGAGTCTCTCGTGCTCATGCGTGGGTAAATTTGAGCCTAAAGCAATTTCACTGTGGGTAGTAGGCATTTTTTTCTTCAGGAATAGCTCATGTTTTCAGTCTGGGGCCTCTAACACAGAGGAAGTTACATGAACACTTTTATTTCCAGTTTTTGTGTATAGTCTCCAGTGGGACAATAAGGCCTTTTGAAAAAACTCAAATGGTATTGTATCAATAGATGCCAGTTTGCTAAGTTGTCATGGAAAGAAATTTATATCATTCACAGGTAAAAGGTAGAACAGTTAATGAGAGCTTTTATAATGTGGTCTTATTATTATTATTATTTATCAGGTTTATTAAGCTGTTCTTACTATCCTCCAGCCAGTGGTATGTTTTGGTACACATACCAAAGCAAGCACTTATGTCAAAATGCTCAATCCTTAGTAAAAAGCACCAAAAAGTGTGTGTGGGGTGGGGGGGGGGGGGCGGGGGAGAGTGGGGAGGGTGGTGTTTGGACACCCTGGGATTCAAATGCCAGAACTAAAAGGGAGGATTTTTTTTTTTTTTTTTGTAAAGGAGTAAGAGATAACCTTTGTTAAAAATAAAAATAAATTGGTATTTCCTATGAAGCTGATATAGTTTCTGTGCATAGTAAAGGCAGTCAGGCTGGAGGGACTTCTCTCTGGAGATAAATGAGGCACTACTACAGAAAGCTCAACAAAAGCGCCCAGCTTCAGAGAGCGGCCGGGGGAGGCAGCTACGTGAGAGGGGCTGCTGGCATCCTAGGTCAGGTTTGTTTGTTTAGGCCACATCTCTGAATGAAAAGGACTCAGAAATGAATCCCACTTAGTCTGGGGCAGGCATTCAAGCGGACTTAGCTAGAGCCTCACTCACATTCTGCCAGCCTGGAACTGGAAACCTAAACAGACCCAGAAGTAAACCTGTGGTATCCAACTAAGATCACCTTTTGGATACGAATTGAGAGAAAAGAGCCCTTACATGGCTTTATTAATTCAGGCCTTATTCTGAAGACCTGGCTGCAGCTCAGAGGTCTTTTGTGACCAGGTGGGAGTTTTCCTTTTCCGATCCCACCATTCCTCTGGAAGGATATGCCTGGCCAAAAGTCAGTGGTGCAGGTGGTCCTGCAGGAAGGTGGTGGGCACCCTGCCCCGCCTCCGCCAGCACTGTGTTCACCACAGCCTCCCTCCTGTTTCGGCCAGACTGTGGATGGCACCGGCGTGCGGTGATCAGTCTGTGTCTCCTTCCTGAGGCTTCTTGGATGCTTGTGTTTGTCTGTAGGGATGGCAGGATCAGCCCTCTAGGCATTCTGCTTGCAAATGACATGCTAACATGTCAAGCCTCCCCAGACAGCTCCAGTTTTAATCCACCTGGGAGTTCAAGAGTCCTCCGGGCTTTCCTCTCCACTGCTATCTTAGAGTGGCTCTAGCTTGGGATCTGAGGTGCCTTTCTTTTTCTATCTTTTTCATCATTCACCGGGTCCTGAGCAGATGGTGTGGCTGTGCTGGCTGTCATCACTCTTCCTATGTTTCCATGGAAACCTGGGGCATAGGGACCATCTCTGCCTTGGGCTCTCTGGCAGTATCCTCTGGCCCCTCCCCCTTGCCTGCCCACGTTCTGAAGAGTTGGAGAACCTTCAGCCAGGGTCATTTCCGAGATCATCTAAGGACATACTCCCCAGGAATGGTTGAGAACTGACTAGAAAAGGGATGGGAGGAGAGGGAATGCCAGTACCCCAGTTGTGTGGCCGAGGCCAGTTTGCAATAGGGGCATATTCAGACTATCTGTCCCTTCAGCCAGATTCCATAATGGCTGATTATTGCCCACATGTCAAAAGAGATGCGCCTAAGCTTGTCTCTGCTCATCAGGCAGCAGATATGTAATGAGTGTAACAATGTTACTGATAGTTTACCTTTAACTGACATTCTGCCCCCTCCCTGAGCAGCCTTCTGGATTTTTTTTTTTTAATAAACCATGTTTTCCCTAAGGAATGTACCTTCCTCAAAGTTTCCAACATCCTCCTGCCTACATAATTCACTTATATAGCTACTAAGACATTAATTAGATTCAGAAGTCTGTGGAAACAGCAGAGCTGGGCAGGTCAGAGGCCAGGCAGGGCAGAGAAAAGAGTGGGGGAAATGACCCTTGGGAGAAGGGAGGGAAGCAGAGGGAAATTTTTCATGCCATTCAAGTACCAAACAAGGCAATTTCAAAATGTGGACAACTACTATAACATTGTTTAGAGAATTAAAGTAGTGTCCAATTAAAGATTACTTTTATTAAAAAAAATTGATTTCCATAAGAATTCTATGGATATATGTCTTCGGTGTTGTTCAGTTACAAAGTTGTATCCGACTCTGCAACTCCATGGACTGCAGAACTCCAGGCTTCCCTGTCCTTCACTCTCCTGG